AGCATGTCCTTCCTTAACTCAACAATTTTTGGCTAAAGCATCACAGCTTAAACCAAGGAGAGAAGTGTTTTGGCAGCCTGACTACTTTGATGAATCAAGCAGACAGCACCAGGGAAAGCACACACACCCAGGAACCGCTATTTGAACACAGGTTTACATAAGCACACAGCCTTGTCCTCTTTCTCCTTTTAAAAAGTCAGTATAATACTTAAGAGTAGAATATGATCTAGCTTAGCATAGATAAAGCCGTGCATATATGAAGAAATTTAAAAACCAAAAAACCAACCTGAACACAAAGCTTTCACAAAGCTTTTACCTTCAGCTTTGTTATTCTACACTTCTGTGACTACAAATTAAAGCAATGCTTGATTTCAAAGTGCATTCAGCGTAGCACTAGGTACACATCCATTCATACTCAATCACACTGCTTACTCACTAAATAATGCTATTGTCTGTTGCTGTCACGTTCTAAATAGTATGTTTAAAAATTTTTGTAAGACATGTAGCATTGACCTGTATATGAGGTAAAAATTAGGTGGCCTTTCCAGAAAAAAGCAGCATTGCATGAATATGAGGACAGGTACTACAAGGCTACAATAAGGAGGTCTTCCAAGGTATCTGTAATTAGGAAGCATGGAAAGCTTGAAGAAAAGGTAAAAAAAAATTTTAGTGTGTTCTTGCTGCTATCTTGTGACAACTGCTTTTTTGGTGTCAGACTTCTGGAAGTGAATTATCTCTCAGAATGCTGACAAAAAATGGAAAATAAATTGAAATATTGCTGTAGATAAGAAAGGGTAAGGACGTGTGTATCCTGTTTATTGGCTCCCTTCTTAACATGAAACATGCATGCTCACATCCTTTGGAGACTTTTATAGCTGTGTGCTCAAAATGAAAGTAACTGTGTTCCAGCTAGGGTAAATGCTCCATAACAGCTGGGTGGGATTACTTTATGCTTTGAAGATATGTGGAATTTATGATAGTTTTATGACACTGCACATATTTTAGAGGAGTCGGGAGGATTCTCTTCTCTCTGGAAAATGCAGCACTTGGCCCTGTACTCTGAATCAGTATGTCAGATCCTGATCAAAGCTAAACCACGATCAAATTTCAAGTGTTTTGTGTCTGTTCATCTGAAAACTAAATGTGACTTAACTCCTCCTTTATCTAAATGCTTAAAAAAAAAATCCACCCTTATCTTAAGACAGCAACTCTCTTCTTTCATGGTTTAGGGATCTGTTCAGCCCTGAATATAATTAACTCAGTAACTTAGCAAGCACAATATGTTCTAGACTGAACAGGCTCTAGATGAAAGTTAATACAGAACCTGCCTGCTGTTAGTTCTGCAATGACCTTCTGCAGATCACCGTTCTCCAAACTTAAGCTTCAAGGAGAAATTCTTGCAAACAGCATTCAGACAGCATGTATATTAAAAGCAACAATACAGTAAGAGAAAAAGTCATACAGCTTTTTATACTGATAATAATTCATCTTATTTTCATTAGTTATTTTATCTTTTTTTTATTGAGGTACTCTTTAAAAAAATCATATTTGGAATACAGTTACATGTTATTTAACAACTACATTTCAGAAAACTTGTTCATTTAGACCCTTCCAAAATCGCTTGAATAAGTCAAGAAAGCTGCACAACAAAGTAATTTACTATTTTTTTTTTTAACAGGGTAAGGTATTAGCTTGTATCCTAATGCATTCACAAAACAGAAAGTCTTACGATATCTTTAAAAATTCCGCTATGTGGAACTACGTATTTGTCAGAGGTGGAAAGTGCAGTTTGGCATAAATGTCTATGAATGGCTGTGAAGGCCTTTAAATAAAATCTTTCCACTATTTCAGCTTCACCACACTCTCATCTTTGAGTTATTTAGCATTCACAAAATTTCAAGCTTCTAAAATGGAGACACTTAAGACTTTAAATCAAAAGCTTGAAAGTAAATTCCTTTTAGAGAGAGGATAGGAGAGCAGAAGTTATTCTCCTTCTATTTTCCTTGAGCAGACAAAAAAATACTAGTTGTGCCAAACAGTTAAGTGGTGCTTTATTCTCCACAGGCACCCTGTGAATAAAGGAAATCTCTTTGTGAAACAGTACAGACCTTGGTATAGGTTTTGATTTTTTTCTTCTTCTTTAACATTTTCAACACATGGAATAAAAAGCAACTCAAGAACTACAGATGGCCTACAGAGTAGCGCTCAGTTGTATGCTGCTGCTCATCAATAAGAGTAAGCCAACTATAGCATACCTTGGTTTTAACATTTTAAGCCACTGGCAGCTCACCTATAACTCTGTACACTTTAAATAAAATTTCTGAAATTAAGATTCACATCTATTTTCGTGATTACTATTTATTAGCCCATGTATAAACCAGAAGTTCAACTACTCTCCAATATCCAGTACTGCATAATCCCAGAAATTAAAGGTAAAGCAATGCCAGGCTCTGAGCATGAGCCAAGCATGGCTCTGTTAAAAATGGGGCTTTAACATAATGTTTGTAGTTCCATCTTCTCTATGAAACACAAACAGCTGAAACAATTTTCTATGGGTATTTTACATATATGTATGCATAAAAATCCTACAGCTGTGAGACATCACCTCCAGGTGAGAAGGAGAAAAAAAGACCAAAAAAATGATTGTTGTTGGCAACTGATGACTAAGTAAACACGTCTTTCCATGTTGGGAAAGCCAAAACTGAAAAATACTGGCTCACAGGGCTGGGTTTTACTTAAATGGTGGCAGTTTAATTAGATCTGTATTAGAAACAAATTTATATGATATTAATAGGACAAGATTAACAAAAGAATTATTCTGAAAGAAGCCTTCTAAGACTTCCTTCCCCTCTCCCCTGCTTTCCAAATCATGGTTAAACCTCTCCAGGTCATTTTAAAACTTTCAACAGAGTCAATTTTCAAGTATTGTTCCTTTAACCTATTATATTTGTAATTAACTAAATAATAACTAACATTGATTTAAATTGGTGACAGGCTAGAAACTGATGACCAGATAGAAAATTGACCTACTGTTGTTTCTAGAGAGGAAAAGGCTGGGGTACTTAGGACTGCTCTGCGTGGCTCATGCAGCAGCTCAGAGACAGAAGATGGCTGGTCAGTCAGCACGTAGGTAGCTCTAAAAAGCACATGCTGGCTTGTGCTCAGATTCTAAGCCAAACAAAAGCAAAGTGGGACAGAAGAAAAGTATAAGTTATAATGATGGGAAATGCTGGGGATAAAGTGGAACTGTGGCAGAATATAAGACACTAGGAGGAGCTGGAGATAAGAGGTACCTTGTCAATATTTGGGTGATGGGGAAGGATGAAGAGAGCTAGAGTACCTTAGAGTAGGATTCAATGATAAAGAGAGATTTTAATTATTCTGACACTTGTTTACTGCTTGTCAGTTTTGAATCCAAGTCGTTTTAAAATAAAATTAAAACTAAGCAAATCTTCAATTTAAAGAAAAAAAGAAAAAGGATCCTTATCTGGTATTTATAATGTCGCTGAGATGCCAAAAAGCTGGAAAAGCACAGTTCTGCTAGAAATGTTTAAAGCCCTAGAACACCACTAACATGGTGTTCAAGCAGAATTTAATTTCAGGGGATGCTGAAAATCTAATTCGTTACAACAAAGAAATAGAAAAATGAGTGTGCCTAAAGCAAAAGTCATTCTTCTCCAAAAACTAACTTAATATAACCTCCTGATGCTATCTTACAGTTTCAAAAGAAGGCACACATTGGTTCTACGGATGCTCTATGCTGTGGTTTCTCAGGAGCAACACGAGCAGAGAACCATTTTAGAATTGTTAAAGCAAGTACATCAAGTCTCAAAAGCTATTCTTCTATCAGTGTTTATAAAACTCAAGTAATTATATGCAGCCATCTAGAGTAACAAAAGCATGCTCCTGCATGTGCACACAACTACAGAACGAAAAGTTTTGGATACTTGCTGTTACTTTTCCTAACCAGTTAAGGAAGCTGTCAAATTCATCTTTCATTTCAAGACAATATGGGAAAATATTTTTGCATACAGTTTTAGAGGATTTATAAGGAAATATAACATCCTGCCTTTTTTAAAATGTGGGGAAGGAGAAAGACTCTTTCCACAAAGAAGCTTATCCTCAGAAATAGCACAGTTTAGAACTAGACGTGCCACAGGAAGAGGGGGAGGGCTTATATCACAAGCCTGTCCATTGTACTGGAAGAAGACTTTTCCTATGGATGGGCAATCATCCTGTTATGCGGCTCTCGACTTCCTCCGGCATTGTGAGTCTCAAGTCATGGAAAGAGTAAAGTTCTTAAACTGAGGATTGTGTTGGGAACTCCAAACACTTTCAATACATGTTAACCAAACAAATACATCATGGTCAAACTATTAACATCCTGATTTAGTTTGCCGAAGCCACTATTCTTTTGAAAAAATAATGTAATCAGGAGAACTCTGGATAGTTATCTTGTTAGTTCTTTTGGCTTCTGATAACATTTGGACTAACTGAAAAGAAAAGTCTGGAACTGCAGCAGAAAGCCAAGTTCAAAATGTAAGACAATGAGACCTTCACAAAACAAACTGTCCATAAATAAAGACTAAATGGGAGCACACTGAATGATCAAAAAACCCTACACTAATTACCTATAAAAAAAAAAAAAATCTCTGTAATCCACAAACTGCATTTGAGAAACACTCATTCAAACCTTCAGCTGCTGCAGTTTCAGTTATGCTCTCAAAAGTGCTATCTGCAAAAGGCTGTTTTAAAGCACCTTCCCAGGTCAGCTGCCCCCTTAAGAAAAAAGCTATTATCGAAATGGAGTGAAGTGACTAGAGAGCTATTAATGTGAGTTAGGTTAGGACTCGTAGCATGTGTTCCAAGAAGAGAGTACAGTACATACCAGTGCCATTGCAATCTATGCAGTCAACTGTGGAGCAGCATGCTTCATACCATTGGCAGATTCTGATGTGTTGCAGCTAGAAGCATGCTACGTTAAACAGCTCTACAGTTACCTGATAGCCTTCTGTTTTTTTCTGGCACCACTTCAGCAGGGCGTTTCTCTTGGATCCTCCATATTCTCTTGCGAGGGCAGACAAAGGATCTTTCCTCTCTTCCCTAGGAACAAGGCAGAAGTGCCACTTAGAGCTTGTAACCTATCTTTTGCAACAGAAATATATATTGCAGAATCTAAGCAAAAAAAAAGACAAATTATTGTCACAGCATAGTTACATGAAGTAGTAGGATACAGCACTACTGACTGAAAAACAGAATACACAAATACCTGCAGAGACTTGAGTTATTTTGAAGTAATTATTTCATTAGCAAATCCTCCTCCTCTTTCAAGTTTTTTTTTCCTAGGTCTTTCAATATTTTTTCTAAGGGTTCAGAAAATTAAACTCACAACATAGTAAGTTCCAGCTCAAACCATTAAGTTAACTCAAGTGACTTTATTTTGTATTTAGAAAGAGAATAAACTGATGCTATCTCTTTTGCATCTCATGGCTGATTACAAATGTCACCTTGAAACAACACATTTGCCTACTAGCAGCATGGCATTATTTACAGAGCAATTCCCTGAGGTTGGGAGTTCTCAAAAAACAGAAGGCAGATCTAACAAGGCTGATCTGCCATTTGATACACTGGCACAAGGAAAGCTAGCAATTAATTGCACTTCCAGTTCATCAAGCTATCTCAAGTAATTTTTTCTTTAAGGAAAAGACTGAGGAATAAAAGAACAATCATATTTGAGTTGGCCAGTTCTTCACAAGTCTCACATTAAAAGTCTCACATACCTTTACCAGGCATCAGAAATGAATGCTTAGATTTTAAAAAATGTATATATTATAGAGGTTAATACTTGTGAAGTGGCCTATCTACATGATTTGGTATTTCTATAGCTATGCAGTGAACAGTCTTTGACAAAAAGACTAGGATGGAGCTTAGTTAATGGATGTAAAGTGTGCCAGCAGTTGGTCTCATTTTTTCCATTTGGAAATTACAGTAAGATAGCTGTCAGTGAATCCATACTGCAAAGATTTCCTCATCTGCCATTCTTCTGAGGGTTCTATGCACATGTAACCAAGATTCTCAAAACAGCCATAAAGGTGATACTTCCAAAATGGCATAGAGATTATATAGATTCAACTCTTCGCTCTTTACAACCCATTTGGTCATTGGAAAGAAGGGTGGAATGTGGAAATACAATTTATTTCAGTAGATTTACAAGTAGCAGTTCTGCTAGGGGAAAAGAAAGCATGCAGGGAATGTGGATTTCTGCATGCATGTATGCTACCAGCAGAAGACCAGAGACTGTTCCACGTATCAGCATCTGTCACTCAACATATAAAAGAAGAGAACATCTGCCAACAATGTATATGAACAATACAGAAATACAATGAGATTTTCAAAGCCACTAGTCTTAAGTATATGTATTGCAATGTGCTTGGACAGTCTTCACTACAATATAGATGACAAGATCTCAAAGCTGTTTAGAAAGAGAGAACGTTTGAAGCATCCACGAAAACATGCGCAGCAGAGCAATAAAGAGGAAACAGTAAGTGCCTTTTGGCATGAAAGCAGTACGAGCCCTTCAATCCTCACTGCTAATCTCAGAGAGATTTAACACAGCAAGGAAGTTGTTAATTGTGTATTTTAAATATGAAATAAATTATCTGAAGAGGTTATTGACCTAAACTTCATAGGCACCACACAACCAGAATGATGCTTCAAGATAGTCTGTGCTTCAGTTGTTAAATCAGTACATATTTCAATAACATTTTGGTGACTGAAACAAATTAATAATGGGATTTTGCATATTCAGTCTACAACAAAGATTAGGCAACACTACAAGAACTTTAGAACTGAGATCTGGGATAATATACAAGAACTGAAATGAAAAGCTCCCTCTCTTTACGCTAAACATACTGTTTAGCCATCAGGGAGCTGTACAGCCTGTTCTCAAATGCCAGTAACAGCACATGGTTTATATCTGGTTCTCACAGTTATGAAAACACTGCTGAAGAAAATAAATGCAATTTGTATGGAGACAATGAGAAATGGTTTGACATATAAATCTTACAACTTAGTGTGTGAAGCGAGTCCTCATTAGTATATTAGGTCAACTGTATTCCAAATCAAAGAACCAGAGAAGTTTCAACTAAAATACAAACCAGCAAACTGCAAGTATTTGTTTTAATGAACTACAGCACTCTATTTTACAAGAACTTTCAGCAAAAGGTGGGGAAAAAAAAAAAAAAGATAAACTGATCACATAAACTGAAGCCCAGCAGTGACATTCTGGGGACATTCTGAGTCCCAGGGAGCGTGCTCGTCGCTGCACTCCCACTGCTGCAGGTTTCACTTCTGCGTCTTCTCAGAGTGCTCAGCAGTGCAGTCAGTGGTTAGGTGGCACAGCAATATCATAACTGTACAACTTACCACAAAATGCCAGGCTATTTGCTACAGTCTGCAATCAATACAGTTTTAATCATTGCCAGTTCAATGTTCATATGTACGTGGTTTAGTCCTTTTTTTATTTCTGGATGTACTCACTCTAAATTTAGGTGCCAATACCTAAATTTGCTGGTAACCCACAGATGCAAACTCAGTTTAATTTCTGCACAGTGAAAGGAGAGCAGCACTGAGGCTTAACTCAGCTGATCTCAGGGAAATAATTTTCAACAGCATCCACAGATGTAAATAACTTCACAATTTTACAATGTAATTATTACATATTGTAAATTGTTCTGAATACTAAGGGTTTAATATTTCTGCCGCACAAAAGCTTTGTCAGGAAGCTCTGTGTTAAATGGTCTTGAGAAAGTCACTTAACCTTTGTCTGCCAGTTTCCCAATCTATGAAGCAGGGCTAAGCACTTGCTTCAATTGCATAACACGAGGCTTGAATACCTTGAAGTCCTTTGACTGATAACACTACAAACAGGAAAAGGTTTAAATTTATCACAGACTTATCTTTTCATCTCACTAATGAAAGGGGGTTGCCTGGCCATTTGTAACTTAGACTTGCATTATGACTTCATCTGTGGGACTAACAACCCAGGCCCACTCATTCACGGCTATTTAGAAGAATCATCAGTATCTGGAATTAAGATATAGTCATGCTGCTTTTTGTCTTCAGCTGCAATTACCAAAGTTTATCATGTGGTGTCCCTGGGTCCAAGCCACTTTGAAATATTTGTGCAATGTGCTGTAAGCTCAATTCTAAGATTTGGCTTCACAGTATTTTGAACTGATATGATGCTATTATTTAGTGACATAATTTAGCTTGGGTTTCTAGTGGAGTATAATATTTTGATATTAACCTCATAAGATATAAAAACCCTAATTTCTTCTCTAAGTTTTAAAACACACACTGAGCTGTAGAAAATACTTTCTGAAGCCCTCAAAGATTGATGAAGACTGTTACTGTATGGGTGGCAGTAGAGTCTACAATCTTAGTGCTAGTATTATATTCTAAATATATGCAGATAGCCATGAAATTAACACATTTCAGTGCACCACAAAAAAAAAAAAAAAAAAAAAAAAAGGTTTTTCCCTTATTCGACTTCTGGTTGTAGGGGTGACTGATGCTGTAGGAGAAGATGAGAGTGAGAGCTGTGGTGAGGTGGTACCCATTGCCATGAGAGATGCTGGAGATGCTCCATCAGGTGCACTGATATCCCTCTTGATTTCTTCACTACTTCTTCGAGAGACTAAGTGGGAAAATACCCATACATTTATAATTTCCAAAACATAAAAACTTTCAAACTTAGTCTTGCTCTCTGACAAGTATTAGTTCAGAAACTATGCACAGAAACCTACATCCAGTATTAGGCTTTAATGTATTTCTTTATACTTTGCACTTAGAAAATATCAAAGATTCAGACTGCATTACCAACATTTATGATCAGGCCTGTGTCTTCAAAAAAAGAAAATTTGACAAATGTATCTTAATGAAATATTGCTATTTCCATTTGAAGGATTTAATGAACAAGAAGGAATTTCAATGCCAAACCATTTAATTTTCTCTAGTTCATGTAGTTATGTTGCTACGCTTCAAGAAGTTAAGAAAAAAGAAAACTGAAACCAGAAACAATTTAGAGATGACAGCTGCTTTATTTCCACTTGATTTTAATCAAGAATTGGCATGTCTGTGATGCTTTGGACATTAATTAAGTATCATCAGCAAATATATCAAAGTTTGACCTGAGACCATTCAGCCATATTCCACAGAGCTTGATTCATTTTATCAAAGGATAAAATTTTTCTTTTGAATGAAAGCATAAGCATTATAGGCTGTAAAACCAAATTTGGAACAGAAGACAGCTCTACATGGAAGAGTTTTCAGTTAAAGTATGAGGTTTGCCTTTTATACTTAAACAGTCACCATTGTTTATGCAAATCAAAGATACAACTCCACATATATCAGAGAACTATTTTCTAATTACTTGGGGCAAGTACATTGATCTATAAATACCAGACATCAGAAGCAGGGAAAAAACATCTGAGTGGATTTTTTTTTACTGTAGGATGAACCAAAATGTTCTAAAACACCTTTATTGGTTGAAAGCATTTACTCAAATAGAGGTGTTTTTTAAAAATATTTATCTCAAGTTAGTTCTGCCTAGTTTATAGAAAGTCTAATCTTCACAGTATCACACTACTTGAGCTATAAATCGAAAAGATTTGGTTTTAGAAGCCCCTGCTGATACTGAGATGTCAGTCTGATAGCAAACTAACTCTACAAAACATTCTATCTACCAAGTCTAGTTTTCAAAAATCCAAAGTTGATATGAAATGTGCAGCAACCACTCTGAGTAACACTACAGAATATTTGTAGGTTACACCAGTAACAAAATGGACTATTTTAAAATTATTTGCTGCAAACATTCTTTTGTCCTACAGAATGTCTAGAAGCTTTGCTAGGTAATATGTGAAAACTTTTTTATGCATTAGATAACCTATAATGACGCATTTGTTACCTAAAAAGAACAATCCTATTTTAAACCATTGAGAATAATTCTTTCCACAAACAAAAATGGAATTGCTTAATTAGAGAAGGATATGCTTCTCTGCTTCACTCACTTAAAAAAATAATCCTACAACCAAGCAGTGCAAAGTAACAGCCAGCAGTAGTCTTTCCTCAGGTATACCTTGTACACCAGAATGACTTGTAATAGCAAAGACAATGTTGTAGTCAGCTGTTACATGCACGATTCATACTCATCTATCCGATACATTGGTGCAAGTCTTCGTATGCAATAATAAGGAAACCACTCAATTAAGAAAAAAAAAATCTCTTCAGCTCCATTTGAAGCAGTAAAATGGAATATTATTTTGCCACTGGACTTGAGCCTCGTTCCACAAACATTTCTGTAGAAAACACAAGCACTGTAAAATAAGCTATTCCAATATCCAAAGAGAGTTTTTCTGACAAGAGTTTGATGCCCTGATGACCAAAATTCTCCCTTGAAAAAGTAAAGTCATTCTGTAAGGACAGCATTGAAATTAGAGTCCCTAATTTTACTAATAATCTAAAAAACGTGCTATTACCAGAAATAGATTTGGCACTTTCCATAGCGGGTACTCTTGGCAAAGATGCTGGCCTGCTGGTAGAAGATGTTCTCAACAAATGTTCTGGACAAAGAAAAGGAAGAGAGAACATAATTTACAAAGATGTCAGATAAATGCAAGACATTTAGATATGAGTCATGAATATTGTCTACCAGTGCCATTAGTTTGGCTGTTTCAGTGAGAGCAACTGCTTTTAACTGTATGAAAGACAAGGCTTAAATTTGCTCATTACTGATGAAGTTCACCATGAATACATCATGACCTCCTTAATCCTTTTTCCCTAAGGCCTCTTAATGACCCACTTGCCCTGGTCTATTAAAAACAAACTGTGAAACCAAAAGGCTGAGCAAGGACTCCTCATTTAGCACATAGCCAAAAATATTCAATATGCCATTCACAATGCAGATTGGTAAAGCAGATTGCTTTGTCCCTTGTGTGAATTTTGTTTTTCCCCTTTGGTTTGGGATTTTTAGTTTTTAAATAAAAACATGCTTTTTTTCCTCCTCTGTGCAGTGGAGTCTAAAAGGTGCCTTTATATTTTGTAAAGAAAGATTAGTACTGCCTATTGCCAATGAGTAAAATTGAACTACAACAAACTTCATTTTCTGTAGCACCAAATCAAAATTATTTCCTATTATTGAAGAAATATTCCTTCAAATAAAACCTTTAGACTGTAAATAAATGGTGTACATACTTCTATGGAGAAACATTTAGAAGGCAGTAATTTGAATACAAAACCCCATGAAAATAAAGAATGACGATTAAAAAAGCAAAACCCCATACATTAGTTGAAAACATGGCATGGAATATACACTGCTACAGAGGTACTTTAAAAATATATCTGGTTGTAACAGGAATTCTGCCTGGCACACTCTCTATTGGAATGCAGCTCTGCTCCTGCTTTAACCGAGTGTAACGAAAACACAAAACCTATGTAAAGCATACCACTCAATTTGTGTTTAAGCATATGTCTACCTATGAACTCTGTAACAATTGAAGAATCCTAAACTATCTTCTTGGAAAGGCATTTCAATATTCCTAAAAATATCAAGGTTTCTAAAATTAAAACTCCAGCTGCATTGTACAAATAACCTCAATATGCATTCAACAAAAGCAAAGAGGAAATCTGGCACATCCAGACTATTATGAAGTGCAACAAAAAGAAAAAAAAATGACCCTTTAGAAAGCATCAGACCTCAGGAATACCAAACTGAGAGGAAATATTCAGCCTAGAGTCATATGGGGATTATCTTGAGAAACAGCTATGAAAAAAAAAACCCTGAAGCAGACATAAATCAGAGAACTACACCCAACACATGATAGCCATTCATTCTCACAGGAAGAGCACATTGTGAACAGTGTTTTGAGAGACAAAACAAAGTTCACAGAATGGGGAAATACTAGGAAACAGATAAATCAACACTCAATTTAATTCCATTCAATTTTTCATCTGGCTCCTGAAGATTCAATACTTAATAAGTTTATATTTTGTTATTCACATTCAATGCAATGCCAACCATCCTCTTTGTTTTATTTGAGGGAAAAAAAAACCCTGCAATGACAATACCTAATGTAAGCCCAGACGTGTGTATTTTTAATATCTGGAAGACAGATGCAAGACATGTCCCTGAAACCATCTTCTCTTGGTTCTGCAAGTGATCTCAGTTTGTGCACACATTAAAAACTGTCAGAATAATGCTGAGTTACCAGCATGCAATTAGAGTTTTGTTGAAAATGCAAAAAAGCACTTTTATGATGTATCACCTTGTGTAATGAAACAAGTAATAAAAACTTGAAATATCCAATGAAAATATTTCAATAATAAAAATACAGAATATAATACTACTTTGGATGATAAATGATATATGGTTTCTAAAAAAAATATTAATAGCACTGCTGAAAACAAAGTTTGAATGAACTTGAATCAATACCTTGAACAGGGATTTCAGCATAGCTTGGTCTTTTGTCTGCCAGTGTAGCAAGGGGTTTTGAAGCAGAGATTGGTCCACTTATAGAATGTCTCTGAAATGGAAAGACTTGTGTCAAACAACTTGAAGGTAAAACAAATACAGAATTGCAGAATCAGTTTTAGAAACTAAGATATGACATTGTTACTGATTTAAAAGAACTAAAAATTGAATGAACATTTAAAAATACCTAGTGAAAAAGGCTGTCCTCCCTAATAGTTGATTTTGCCCATCTCGATACATATACAGGCACTACACACTCATATTGCGACATTTGCTTCTTTAAAATGAAACATCTTCCTCAAATCAATGTTGCAAAGTAAGGTTGTGAATTCTCTTCAGGTTTTGTATTAATTTTTACCTTTATTTATATTTGGTTTACACAAACCTGATCTGGTTAAACTTTGTGTTTATTTACAACCCCCTACATGCAGCCAAGATTTTACTGCTTGATTTATGTTATTAACATACACACTTCTGTGCCTTTACATCTTTGTGCCTTTTCCTGGAAAATTAGGGTAATGGTGTATTTGGTGTCGTGCTACAAACTACCCTTTGCTAAGTAAAACCCTACTGAAAAAAAACCATTATTTAGAATGTCAGCACATTTTGTTACCACCCATTTGACTCAGATGGTCTGTGAACAACTGTAATAAGACCTTATGTATTTGTTAAATATGTAATAAAATACAAATATAATTATTTTCTATTTCTCAGGTCACTTTAATTTCTATTCTGCTCTAAACTAGCTCTGAATTGATTTTTTTTCTTTTCAAGTTTTATGTAAAATACTTTGCAATGTGTGGCTTCTGTCAGCTTAAACTGCAAGTATATGGTCAGAGATGTGTTAAACCTTGCAGACAACATTTAGTGCAATCACAATTTAGTAACCACTGTATAGCACTGAAATAAGCATTTCAGCATCACACAAAGGAACTGTAGAACGCAATAATTACGCTTACAGTTACTGAAACTCATATTCAGTCCCTGAAGACTCAGGGAAGTCCATCCACAATTATTACTACAAAATACAGTACATTCCTTATTCACCCTGTCCTTTCTATCGATTCCAGTATTCAGTCACGATCAGTCCAGTAATGTGTTTATGCTGAAAACTTTCAGCTCTCCATCTGGACCAAGACAAGATGAAAAGGTTAAATGAGTCTTAGCTTCAGAAGATAATAAAGGTCAGATGTTTCATATGCCAGATTATGTACGCTTGACAGACTATTCCAAAATTCTGATTAAAAAAGTTAATGGTATGTATTTTTCAGCAACCTGTAGCTCAGGCAGGATTACAGGGCTACTCATTCAGCATTTAAAGTCAAACTACAGTTGTGCTTTTGTGCTAGAAATCAAACGGAAAACCACAACTGCCACCACGTACCATACAGAGTTTCATCACTACGTATCAAAAAACCCACATGTACAAGGATTACTCCTTTTAAGGTGCAAATAAAAGTAACTGCAACTGAGCCATGCACAGAAGTGCTCACAACAGCTTTCCATAAGAGCTAGCATTTCAAACCTGCATTATGTTTTTATAATTTTTTTTTTTTTTGAGTAAAAGACAAGGACTGTTCCAAAGGGAGAGCCATTCTGTTCCTCACCTCAACTCCTCTCCCAAGCAAACAGATACAATAGTTAGATAATGAGGTTAAAAGAAAGATTTCATTTTGGTTAGCTTTGGGATTGTCATTACAAAGACAGGGTAGTGCAGAACTTCAGTCAGGGAACAAAGTATGTGCAGGGCAGGCAGATAACCATAGTCTTTTATCACTTGCTCAGCTTTCGGGTATCACTTAAAAACAAACATCCTTTGTGGATATTTTCAGAAAGTGGTTGTATTACTCGACTGATAACATGCTGCGTACTGGTCTTGCCTTGTTACAAAATGAACTGTTTGTCTTTTTGCTCCTGTTGACACTGCAGACAGGGCTACTTTCACTGTTGCTGGGTCCTTCTTACATATCTATTACAACTACCAGTAGCAATGCAATGACCAATACACTGCAAATTAGAGATAAATGAATAAACTAATGTTTATCTAGTTGCACTTAGCATCATCTGTATAAGAGTAGTAGTGCACAAGTCTCTTGGAGAGTAATTTTTCCTAAAACATTTTACAAACGTTAGAAATTTTTCTGCTTGACTGAGCTGTTGCTCAGAGATTCCTCATTTCTCTTACCAAACAAAATACACTTGATGTGCAATCAAACACAGATGGATCCTACCAGTCCCTTTTATAAATACCTTTTTTTCTTCATCTAGAAATACATTCTAAAATTCACCTAACTGCTAAACATCATGTGTGCTTTACAGTAGTGTTCAAACTCCTTAACACTAAATGAAAGGATCACAAGTTTTTCTAAGTGAAAGAATCACATGCTTTTGAGGCTATTCACAAAGGATACTAATGGGACAGAAATTAATAAACATGCTTTGTAATCTGTGGTCCTCTTGGTATCCATCGTACATTGAGCTCTAGCAGAAGAAAACGCTAAAAAGTTTAAGGTCTAGTTTTGATGTGATGTACGAAGAAAATTGTTCACAGAGTTGAATAACATGTTTCTAACATAGTAGTCTTTATATAATGTAATTCAAGTAACAGATAAAGATGCCAAGATCAACAATTACTATCTTACTGTCCATTCGTAGTCTGAAGGTAAAGTTTCTGATAGCTACCTATGACCTTTTTGAGCTATCTGGCCCCACCCCACCCTTTTTTTTTTTTTTTTTTGTAAGATAACTCCAGAACAGGAACCAGCACACAGGCCAGACAAAAAAAGTAAAGGAGAACAAATAACCTGACACTTCAAATTTGAGACAGAATTATGGCAGGATGAACAAATTCATTAAACTCCAAGTATTTTCCTTCTGACTCTTTGAAAGAGTCAATGACTGTTGTTATTTATAGAAGGAAGTATGACCTTCTACCTGTATCTGTCTAGATATATCTATAATTACTATCCAGGTACCTATTGCAGAACACTTTGCACTTCAGTAAGTACTTCATGCCAATGCACCCACACATGGCAATTTCAGAACATCCACAGTAGTTAGGATACAGAAGTTCTTGACACTGAATTGCACAGAGCCTCAAAGTTTTTATGTTCAAAGGAAAGCAGGACATTCAGCAGTGACCAGTAAATTTGAAACTTTGTCTACTTCAGAGTCCTACAGCTACGAAACAGAAAAAGAAAGCAGATGGGGAGAGCAGCAGATGGCTTCCTTGTCCTTCTACTCCACCCTAGGCATGTGCTTTGGTCACTCTCCCTGGCATACCAGACCAGCTACGCTTTGGGCTATCCCAGCAGGGCTGCTTTTACATTCTGAAGAGCATTCTCTTCATACCACTCCTTCACAAACTGTTTTGTAGTACGGCTAAGCACCATGGTAAATAACAGCTATGTTCCACTGCAGGCATGGAGGTGAAGCCAGAAAGGGGTTTGTTTGGGTTTTTGTTTGCTTTCAGTTGCAAAAATGTCTCTAAGAATGTATCTTCTTATATGTACACATATTACTGTAAAGAAAAACAAACAAAGCAAACAAAAACTCTCCAAGATTAAGGAAATTCATTACATGGTCCAACACAAAAATGAAGTGATAGACATAATTTGGAGAGGGCACATGTTGATGCATCTGTAGATGGAGAATCTTCTTTGCAACCAATTCATCTTACAGTATTAACATTGTCCCAGTTTCTCAGTAGGTGTCTGTGTAAATATTTTTCCTGTTATAGCATTTAAAAGCAACTGAAATTAATGATAATGAGCACTGCAACACCCCCGCAGAGATTCCACCTTCATTCAAGATCTTAAACCATGGATGACTTCTATAAGGTGGGAGCTGAGAGGTCAACTCAGATAGTGATTACTTACTAAAATCTTGCTTTTGTAGCAAACAGCAAAACCCATAGAAAAAAACACACAAAAATCGCATAGAACACAACAGTAGAAAACAAGGCAGTAAAATATGAAAATAAAAGGAAAAAGTGAAGAAAATTGTTTTTGAACCTAAACCCCTTATCTCCTGAGCAGAAAATATTCTTTAAATGCGATTTACATAATCGAGGTCACAAAACACTGTTGCCTTCTGGATAATTAAAAATACTTTTAAGAAAACCATCTATCTTCCAAAAGGCAATAGAAACCATTTTCATTTACATGCCTTCCCTTTTGTTCTCCAGGCAAAGTTTCCCACTAATGAATACCCCACTATTATTGACTTGGTTCTATATCAGAAGAATTCAAAATTCAGGTAATCCTGGCAGATCAAGAACATAAACACAAGAACTGTACACCTGAGCAGGTTTGCAGTATTTTAAGATATTACTTTGGTTCATGGTTAATTTACAGGTAAATAAAGTGAAATAAGCCTTAGGCTTCATTCATAAAGTCTTCTTTCTGCCAAAATTCTGATCTAGCATTTTAGAAGAGGAGATGAAGTGTGCCTCTTCCTACAAGAGCACAAAAATAAACAGAAATATAAAGATAGTTCAATAGGAACAAAGCATCTGTCAGAGAACTTGTCACATTTAACTACTTTTCAAAACTGCTGACAAGAGTGACTGAGCCACAGGAAATCACTCTCACAAAAACATTTAATTGTTTCTTTCTGCTTTGAGGCTATTTGTTTTATGAAATTCACTCTTAAATGAATAAAAGCTGCACTAGTCTGAGCACAGGAGAACAGTCAGTCTGTTCCAGGTATTGTTCCTAAAGCACTAAAAGCCAACATGGATATAGATTCTTCAGTTCACACGGAGAGGATTTATTACCAAAAGTTACACTGACCTATAGTAAAGATCAGGTTTGGGTATTTCTGGTTAGTAATATCCTGCAGGCAACAGGACAATTACTGGCATTAAAGGAGTAAAACATATAGTATGTTCTTTGATTTTTCTATGTGAATCTCATCCCATCTTTTTTTGTCCATGTTTTTTGGCAAAAGCCAACATCTCCCTTCATGCAGCTAGAGAGATGATAAAACTAGCAGTGACCCACCAAGCTGAGCATTAGAGTACTGATGATGCAATCTGAGTGTACCTAGGCTCCTGCAGCAGCTGAACAAATGGACAAAGCTTTGGAGGGGACAGGACAAATTTGACCAACTGGCCAAACTCTCAGTCAAAGATAATCAATCCACAGTGATCTCATTCCTCTCTGGTCAGGTCTGCTATGGAAAGCCCAGGCAACATGGGATACAGTTGCACTGATAATTGCTGACAGACCCTACACAGACCTCACTCCACTGCCCGAAGGGGATTACTGCTGTTTCCATACCAGGCACAGGACTAAACTGATAAAACAGCATCTCTAAAACCAAGGAATGCAGATAAAATTTTCCTCACATGCTTCTCAGTAGCACAAGAATAATAAAGCTTGGGAATATTTAACAAGAACTTCCAAATTATGCCAAATCTCGTATTTGCAACATGGTTCTCAGTAAAAGACTTTTTTGTTAGACTTAACATTTTAGTAATTACTTACTCAAGGCAACATTTTATCATTATGTCCCCACAAAGTCAGACAATTTTTGTATATTGCCACCTGTAGTTTCACATGCACTTCTTTAGAGAAGGATTAAGTGCAGTCATAAACCACCTACCTGCATAGGGGACACAGCAGCAGCTGGGGGAGTTTTCATGGGACTTGGGCTGAGGGGAGTGCGAGGAATTGTAGCAGCAGCAGGGCTTGGAACTAGCAGAAACACAGAAAGGAAGCCATCGTGAGCACTGCACTGCTGGGAAACAGGACAGCAAACTCTCACCTTGTCCTTTACATTACTAGTTTTACCAGATCACATCTTTCAGAATTTCAATTAGTAACTGACTGCAAATCATTTAGAAGTATGCCTACACATGTACTCCCCTGTAATTACATTCATTTTCTGTCTTGAATATATCATCCATGGTGAAAACCTAAGTTTTCTGGGGGTGGACATGGCTAAGGTACAGGATACTATTACCCTGGCTGATGAAAATGATGGCATTACTAGTTCTCTGATCTCCAGTTAATTAAAGAGATGGTGGCAGGCTCCTGGATCTGCCAGTAAAACATGACAGATAACATTTATGACCTCCTCCTTTTCTCATTTCCAATCAAAGTTCACAGGTACTACAGATTATGACAGTCCCTGAAATTTTGGAATGAAACAATATGTTTAGAAATGTGTGAAACCAGACAAATACTGAGTTGGTGAATCAGTTATGCGATAATTTAAAAGCATGATCAGACATGAACGTTGAGAAAGGAGGCAGAGAGAAGCATAAAATAAAAGATTAAGAAGATAGAGGTGCTTATCATTTTACCAAACTAACTCTGGCAAGGAAGCACCTTTATCCAGTAACAGATTTTTTTTAAATCTTTCAAAATTAACACTAGGAAAGTAGAAATTTGTTAATAGCTATGAACGAAGTGTGGAAATAAGACCATTTAGAGAACTACCAAATAATGTAGAGATACGTATGTACCTCAACAAATGTTCAGGTTATAAGCAATCAAAAATAGTTTTCCATGCACAGCGCAGTACTTTAAGTCTCTCTGGTAATACAATGTACTTCCAAGACAAGCCTTTTTACACCAGAGACTTAGTGACATTATTGTAAATTAAATTCAAAGACAAAAGGCCTACCAAGGGAAATTTTTTAATCCATACAAAGTCTCATATGCAGTCAAACCTAAAACTCAAGTGTTTCTCATTTCAGGATAATTACTTGAATTCCTTATTCTGCTAATCTGTACTAAAAGAAAACAGCACCTGTTTCCACAATCACAAAATTATGGTAAAATCCATTGTCTCAGCAGTTAAATCCTTTTAAATTTAGAAAATACTACCTGTATCTATTAATAGGTGATGCTGGCTGGACTTTATTTTTAATGTTCATCATCACTTTGACTATAGGAATGCAAGTTATTAAAAGCAGCAAACTCAGCTCTAGCTATTACATGGCCTTTAGAATGCTTCAATTGGCACATTATATCAGCTTTTAATAATCAGGCTGAAATCTCCTATGCTTCCAGCTACAATTGTAATATGTGATTAGGTATTTCTAACATATGAGAGCACTGAATCAAAGCACCTAACATGTAAGTCATTGGCAATGCATCAGTGAAGGAAAAATAAAGGCAATAGAAAAAGGATGCTTGCGCTTAACCACAGTGAATGGTCTGTTGCACAATCTAGTTTAGGTTGGGTTTTTTCAGTCTTCACTTACAGGTCATGACAGTACAACAAAACAACTTACCTTTGAATTAGCTAAGCTATTAGAAGTGTTTATGTTAACATATACGAAATCATACCTTGGCACACCTAATAGACTGGTTGAAAATAATTACCTTGGGAGGCACTGTCAAATGACTTGATGAGTGTTTTTACAGTAGGAGTTGGCTCTGAGGAGGTGGATGATCTGCGACTCAGGCCCATTCCTTGTCTCAGAGCTGCCAAGTCTCTCTCTACAGCATTCATGTAATTGTACACTCGACCACGCTCCTCTTCCTGCCTGAAATCAATACACAACCCATTTAAGGTATTTAAAAAAATTTTAACATGCAAAGTCTTAAAAAATAAACACACATTTGAAGCCAAATTAAAATCTATGGTCCAAATCGGTCATTATGTTAACCTAGTTTTCTTTCCACTGTAATTTAGAAAGAGATCATCAACCTAAATTACCACTCTAAGTTCTTACTATTTGTCAGCAAGAGCACTCAAGCACCAGGTGAAAATTCTATCAGATCAATACTTGATTTAAAGCTTAATTTCTGCTCTTATTTCTCTCACATGCATGCAAGATAGAAAAAAAATAAGCCTTTCACTGTTTCACATGAAAATAATCAGCTAGAAGGGAGATTGGTCTGCTTACATAAACAGAAAACAATTTAAATGGAGGTAAGAATACATTTCTGGCATATACCTTTAGGCAGTATATGAATCAGTTTTTTAAAAAAAAATTAGATTTTTAGTATAGAATATTTATGGTGGCTACTGCATTCAGTGTCACTCACAAGATGGGAATTGTTTAAAGCAAACTATTTTCTACAGTTTGCAATAATGAAACACTGACTGATTTTTGCTTCAGACACTGAAACAGACTTTCCTACCACCTTCTCTCCAACACAGCAGCTACACCACTTCACAAGGAATACGATTCAGCTGCCTCTGTTCTTCGTCTGCAGGGAATCCAGTGTCAAAGATGCTTGTGCGTAGATAATAATGAGCATCCAGACCAGAATCAGCAAGCCAATTCTACCTTCAAAAGTGCAGCTGTAACCTCAAAGGCTCACTTGCAAGCAGTCATGGAACAATTACAATTCTGGCTGAAATGTATTGTTAAGAATGGTTCATATGGCTTAGTTTGGTGATCTTACTTCAGGTAAGACACCTTACTCCCACCACTTATTCATCTACAGAATTCTTCATTTTCATGGAACCAGTCTGCTCTTCCTACCATCAGCTTTTCCCCAAGTTCCGTAGGCTGCATTATCTCATATCCTCCTGGATGCTGGTTAAGTAGCACATATCCTATAAAATGCCCATCCAGGTGGGAAAAAATGTTTTCATATATACACACCACAATCACCATTACTGTAAATGTAAGCTCTATGTGTATTCGATTCCTGTAGTCAGGATTCCAATGGTGCTGTCCAAGACGTTCCTATTCTAAGAATTTAAGAACTTTAATACTTCTGAATGATACATAACTCAGTGTCTAGGTAACTGTAGCACCTAATTCAAATCACAGTACGTCACAGCTGGAATAGCTTTTTGTTAAAAACATACATAAAGCATCTCTATTTCCTGAAACAATTATCAGTGGAAAGAAAACAGTACAAACTATATGCAGAATTAGACAAAAGTTTCTTCTAAGGTAAAAATCCAGCTGTACTTTTAACCACACCAAAAGCCTTGGCTGATAATAAGAGGTGTTGATGGTACAGAAAAGCCAGTGCTGCTTGGCTTTTTCACACTAAGTGAAGTTACATCATGCCCAGCTGTTAAATAGGAAGAGTCTTCCACTTCAGCCTGGTTTTGCAAAAATGCCAAACCAAATAGTCTTAGATGGATTAAGTATACAGTATAAAGAAAGAAATATTCTTCCTTTATCTATTTCAAACCCTGAAAGCCTATGTAAAGCAGCTTGTTGAAATACAGATCCTCACAGTGAAAGGATTTATGAACTTCCAGAGTCTCAATAAGAGTCAACATAGTGGATTTCCAGAACTGCACCCCTGCTACAACAGAGACAGTATTGCTGTTGTTTTTTGCATACTTGCGTGACTTTATTTCCTCCAGCTCTTTAGTGAGCTTCTCATTTTTCTCCTGAGCTTCATGTAATCTGCGCTTCAGGTCTCCTATCTCTTCCTGGGCTTCAGACTTTATATCATTTGCTATAACCACTGCAGTCTGGAGATCAGCTTGGAACTGACGCCATTCTGCTGACTCCTCCTATAAGTAAATAAAACTAAGTTTAAAGCAAAAGCAAGATCTTAAAAGTTAAAAATAAAAATTATCCTTATTATCTGCAGTTTCCCAATGCTATTACAGGAAACAATTTGCAGCAGTGATCAAGGCCCCCATCTTGGGCATTAGGCACAATCTAACTTAAAAGTTAAATTGAAATTTTGCTGGAAAAAAATAGACTTCAAAGGTCATTAATTTCTTTTCTTGAAACAAAGAAAATGTTCAAAGTGGAGGGGGGGGGAAAATTAAACATCAAAAGACACAAGAACATTTCCTCCAAAGCCCAACATCATATCAGAAGCTAATTCTTTAGTGTCTGTAGGGTGGTAAATATTTTCCCATATGATGTCTGTCTCTCAGAAATAATTATTTTAATGACATTACATCTCGTATTACTCTTCTGCAATTTCACATGAAGGTCTTACAACATTCCAAGTTTACCATTTGAGATTTTAGGTTTTAACCTACCCGGAGTCTCCTGTGAAGATTCTTTATCTCTCTTTCCATGTCGTGCTTCTGGTCCTGAAGTTTTTTAACTGTGTCTGAAAAGAAAGTCAAATTACCTGTAAGATCTTAATCAGGGACCTATTTACTTAAAAGAGAGAAACTGAAACAACTTGTAAATGTTTTTAAAACTTACATAGATAATACATTTTTATAACCAGTCATCTGGAGAAAAATTTGACAGAAAGCATCAACAGATAGATACTTCTCTATGACTGATGAGGGGAGCAGCATCAGCAAACAATTCTTATACAAATCCCAGTCTTTCAATACCCTTCACAATATTGAAATGATAAAGCAATAAGAGAGTAAATAAACAAGGTAGGTAATAGAACATGGAGGGACCCTAAAAAAAAAAAAAAAATGCATGTCCAGGGGTTTTCCCTCTTCAAATGTAAGCTCAATCTACACAAACCCTTTAGATTCATGATTCACTCCCTACCACAGAGCAGCGAACATAACACTCACAGCCACGCCTTCAACAGGGATAAACTTCTACTCATGTCCTCAAGAATTTTACATTCTTGCCAATCAAGCTACTGTCTGAATTTGAAACAAGCTATATTTACAGCAAAGGGACAAATGGTCTAAGAGATCATGTTATGAAATGATGGTCCCTTAAATCTGCCAGCAGCTATAGAAAAAGGTACCAGCTCCTCATGTGGCATCTGACAGACTGGCTACTGCAAGTATTAGTCATTTCTTACTTTGTTCAATACACTAGGAAAGTGTGATTGATTATTCCATTCTTATAACTGAGCAATTAATGAAGGAGAACACAGAATAAATTTCAGAAAAATCAGTGTGTCACTCCACCAATCTTTGGATTCTAGGATTATTTTCTTTCTATAGCATCATGTAGCTGATTCCAAACTGTAAATGAGGCCAACTTTTCCTGGTTCAGGTTCATTATTCCATGATCTGCTGGAAACAAACATCTTCCCTGTATATCAGCAATGATTTTTGCAAAAAATATTGAAGGTACCTAATAAATTCAGGCTGTTCAAAATGCAAAACCTTAGTAAAATCTATGGAAGTGCATAATAAATGTTTAAACAGTTAGAAGATAGGTATACACAGTCATACAATTGTTGATACAGGAAAGTTTTGTGGTTCTCATTTTCTACCTTGAAAAACTTTCCAGTGCTTTTATTTGGGCATCAGGTCCCAGAAAAAACAGTGAACCAGGGTTTATACAAAGTCACTCGTTCTGCCATTAACTACCAGCAACTTCACAAGTAAAGCCTAGACCTTCAGTGCTCCTGGTCTTCTGTCGAAGGGCTTTCCTTAACAACAAAAATGAGGCTACAGCAGACTAAATGGAAAAAAGTAAACATTTCAGAATGTTCAAATCAAATGCAACAAATACAAAGAACAGATTTAAACTGATTTATGCTGATGTGTAAGTTCAGGAGCCTCAGCTATGCTACTAAGAACATTTCAATTTTTCAGCCATGAAATTCCTTTTGGTTTCTTCAGAAGAAACTCTTTATTTTTGCCTCAATAGTCCCAAACACAGAGGCTTTTAATGCCACAGCTAATTTCTTTACAAAAAGGATATAAACCTCAGCTGACCTGAAAACATGATAGCCTTTCAGGCTTAGAAAAGTTGAAGCACAAAATTCACATGAGACTGTTTCACAAAAAACCCCCACATACTTCTGTATTTATCTCCTTACAAGACTGCACATTTTAAGATACATTCAACTAAGTCTTAGGCTTTGAAGCTAAGCCTGCCTAACAGACCGTGCCACTCAAATCTCATGCTACCATAACATTTAAGCAAACTCCACCAATTTTTAGCATGCCTCTGTATATAAAACTTGTTCAAGCTAAAGTCAGCACTGATATGCCACCTCTAAGTCCAAATTATAAAAGTCACTCCCACTCCCTACCCTTTTTTCCTTTAAGCATATGCTAAATAAACCTGCTGAAAATTAGATAACTTTCAACAGTGACAGCAAGTCAACATGCCCTAAAGAGCTTCCAGTAGGGTTTTGAAAATCTAGCAAACAACCTTTTTTTGTTTTAAAGATACTTCACAGAAAATGTGTTTTTTAAAATAAAATTTGTTCTACTACTAAAAGCAAGCTATCGTTAATCTAAAAATAACCACAAGCCAGGAACTATAATTGCATCCAGAGTGAAAGCTTGTGTAATGCCATTGTTTTGAGCTTTTGTGAGATATGAAACGCACCATTAAGTTTTAGTATATTTATGCTTTGAAGTACAACACAATGGTCTGAATATTCTGCAGTTACTATAAACAATACAGAGCACTTCACAGCAGTTGTTGGAAACAGTCTGCTCCCCAATCAATCCAAGAGATTTAAAAAACAAACAAAAAACCACACACAAAAAAAAACACCAAAAACTGAAAAGGACTACCAATTTACAATCAAATTTGAAATATAGTGAGAAATAAAGGCTAATAAGTGATTTCACCTCTTACAGCCTGAACTCCATTCTTTGCATTGTATCACCAATTACAGCCTGCAAATTCAAGCAGTCAAGAGTATGTACACAGGCAGCAATTCTCCCTTCTTTTCTGCAGCATCAGGATCTCCAACTAACACAAACAAACCCTTTCCACCTGTATGTGCAGCAGTTTTCTGTATTGTAGGGACTTCTGCCATTATCAAGTCTCCTCTTTTTAAGGAGCACAGACAAGAAAAAGGATTGAGGTAGAAGGAAATGGAACTATTGTTTAGTGCAAGTGAAGAACAAGGAGATCATTCTGATGAATGAATAGTATAATCAAAACTGGCAAATCAGCAAGCTGCTTCTGTTTTAGTGCAGGATTCAATTATGCCTACGTTTTACAAAATTATTTTGATTTAAATCACAGTTTGACAAGGCCTTGCTTTTTAAAAGGCAGAAAAATAAATTATGGGAAAAGCAGACAACAAATTGTAAAGAAAAACATGACAACTACGGCTTGAGGAAGAAACAGATATCATGAATTTTGTAAGGCTGCCAGAGAAAAACTATCACCATATTCTGGAGTTATATCTCTTACTGATTGTAAAAAGCAGTTAGAATTTATCACTAGAAAATAAAAATTAGTATCAACATTCAATTGTTTAATTTCAATAGTCTCTGGGGAAAAAGGAAAAAGGAAAAAACCAATATTCAGATATGCATTGTAGTTTTAAAACATGACATTACAATGCCTGATAAGGAACAATAAATCAAGTAATCCCATCACAGGCAAATTCACAACAGGCATTCTTACAGCTTTTGTACTACTTACATTGGTCTGCCTTATAGTAGGATAGCATTTCAATTTTTTTAGCATAGAAATGGCTATCCCAGTACAATCACATCTACACAGAGTATTTCCAGTGTTACAATTCATTTAAGAACTATAGCTTCGTTATATAAGGAAGATGCCCTGGTAACAAATATACCAAAGTTCAGGCAATTTGCCTATCAATCTTGCTTTTGAGCTCATCACAAAGACAAAAGGTCTATAGAGCAAGAAAGCTGATTTTTTTAAGGGTCTAACATTAGCCTCCCCCACCACCCCCTCCCAATATTACTAACAATTAGAAAATTAAAAACCAATTGACTTTTCCAACACTATGGTAAAAAAGGCCTAAATATGGTAATGCCAATATTTCATTTCATAATTGCTGTCAAGAGCCTTTTCAAAACGAGCTATTACAGAATTAAAAACTAATGCTGTCAGCGCCATAAAAGAACTATTTATTCCCTGAACATTAGGTCTATCAACCTTCTTGCTCACCTACGCGTGTCCAAAAAATTTACTGACTTAAATAGTTATGGAATAAGAGAGCTGATATGTTTAGCACGTGTACCTTGTGCTAGGTGAGCATTTGACAAGTATTTTTCAGGCTTTAGAAGAAACATCTGACAACTGATAAGCTAACCTACAAATATCAATTTTCTGCAAATCAGGAAACAAAGTTCTCTGAAAAAATTTCCCCACAAACTCTTATTAACTGCTTGGAAGAATAATAGGTTTCTTTTTTTCTCCTTAGTCATCAAAGATGACTGATGTGACAGGCAGGCTCCGGGACTAGTGAAGTTAGTGGGAGCCAGGAGGGAACCCAGAGGCACCGGCACGCCATCTAGTGCAAGGCCCTCCTGCCTTGCCAGCAGCCAGCCCACGCCTCCACCCTACACCTCCAGGCTCCCTCATCTCGGCGCACCAGGGAGGATATAATACACACAGATTATTTTAATATTTCTTAGAGTTTCTAGATACGATACAAAAGCACTGGACTTAAAACTCCTCATCCCACCAATAACAAGTTCAGCTGCCACCAACCACGGTTCCTGCCACATCTGGACAGACACTGGGAACACACTGTGTTTTTAACCAAGCAATTTACATCCTACTGTCCACATTAAAGAGATCCCAGTTTTTGTACACAGACATATTAACAGCTAAAATCTGCCAGTTCAATGTTCAGATTACTGTGAAAAATGTTTTACTGTGTGTGTCGTGGATCTTTTTGGTGTTTGGGAAGCCCACAACAAAGCACCAAAGCACCAGTGCTAAAGCGCCTCACTTTCCTATATTACCATTTAATGTGGATTAACATTTAAATGGAACGAACATTCATCACCTCATCTATGAAGCATCTTTCTCCTAACTGTGAAGTCTGTCTTTTGTGAATTCTTTAAGTGATAATGTTCCATCACTCACCGTTTATCAGTTCTCTTGCCATCACTTTCATTTACCCAGTAACTTTGCTGTTGG